TGACTTCTCCTCTACTGTGTCCTATGGCGTTCCCCTTGCCATCCTTCCTGGAAGAGATAGTGAGGCATATGGCTTGCAATGTAACTATGATGTAGATGGCACTGATAATGCAATCTATTGTTTTGTAGTATTTGGCAAAGGTGGGGATGTGGATGGGACCAAAGTAGCTTAAAATCAGCCTGGCTAAGACAGAACTGATGCTAATAGGTAGGGGAAGCTGGAGGAATGGGAAAGAGATGTGGTTGCACCTTTTTGCTAGAGATGCCTGTCAAACCTTTGCCAGTATAGTTTCCAGTCTCTGGATTATAATGGATCCCCAGACATTTTCATCTCTGGTAGGCATACTGGCTGGGAAAGTGCCTCTTGGAAGCAGGTCTTTCCAGGGTTAGTGGTCAGTTCAGGCCACTGTAATCACTTAAAAAGGACCCAGAAGTTTTAACTGGTGCAGAACAAAGTGGTTTGTGGCTTGAGTGAAGTGAGTCACTATGAGTCCATAACATGCAAACTTCACACTGGCTTGTTGTTAGCTTTCGAGTGCAGAGTTGATTAGGTCTGTGAAGCATTATGCTGTGAGGGACTCGGGGTCTGAGAGATCCCCTCTCCTCTCTGCAAGGTCCTGCTGTGGCGGTTAATATCTGGTGGTGTGTTTAACTAGTGCTAGATGTCCCATTACTGAAGCAAGGGGACCTTTATAAAGCTGGTTCCTGTCACTAGCAATCCCAGAAGGATGAGCAGAGTTGTGGCGGGTTGCTTTTGTTTTGGATGAGGGTAGCTATTTAACCATTGGAGGCCACTTGGCATGATGAACAGTCATTCAAGTTCTCATAGCACTGTCCATAAAATCTCAGTGCCCCAGTAGCCTAGTTAAGTTCCCACATTCTGCCTCGCCGAATCCCTCCCCCCAACCCCCCGTTGTTTAAGTGGGCACAGGATTCTTCAAGTCCTGTCTCAAACTATTGAGTAGCATTGCCAGGTGCTGTTCAGTGGCTGAGGGTTCCACGCTAGCGATAGATGCATTTCAGTGGCAGTGAGGTGAGGGGGCATACAGTCTGTGATGTGCTTTGGATACCTTTAGGCAGGACTGTACATCAGCACCACCATTATTATTCATTTTTTTTCTTCTGAGGCCTCAGTTTCCCTCTTCTGTCACTTCAATGTCCCTCCCCCTCCTTGCCATACGGCTGGTTCCCCAGGCACTGGCAGGAAGCAGTGAGTCTTGTCTTACCATGGCAATGACAAGTTTCCTGTGGCAGGTGGTTTTCTTGGTGTTTCTTACCATCCCCTCCCCCAAGGCGAATCTGTCTCTGGTCGGGATGTGGCCTGGGAGGCATGTGCGTGAGAGGGAGTTGTGAGTGCCTGGGCGGGGAATATGCTGCTGTCACTTCTCGTAAGCAGCTGCTGGGGCTGAGAGTGTGGCTGAGGGCTGAGAATGTCACTGGCTCGATGGCAGGACCCCTGGTTGGGGGTGGAGTAGGGGTTGCCCAGAATACAGTGCCTCTTGTCTCTGGTCGGGATGTGGCCTGGGAGGCATGTGCGTGAGAGGGAGTTGTGAGTGCCTGGGCGGGGAATATGCTGCTGTCACTTCTCGTAAGCAGCTGCTGGGGCTGAGAGTGTGGCTGAGGGCTGAGAATGTCACTGGCTCGATGGCAGGACCCCTGGTTGGGGGTGGAGTAGGGGTTGCCCAGAATACAGTGCCTCTCTGAAGTTACAGGAAATGTGTCACTTTGGAAACTCTCCAGGCTAGTGAGATGAAGGGCTCTGACCTCTCCTCCCCTAGATACTCTCCAGCCACTTCCTGGAGGAAGCCAGCACTGAGCTACTATAGAGACAGTCATACACATGAAAGATGCTGTTAGACAGACAGACAGATCAGTAAAGCCATCCCCTTATCTTCTTTCAAGCTTCCCCCCCGTCCCTTCAAAATTGCCTCTTCTGTAAAGCACACCAGAAACTGCAACCTGTGAATTGTTAGGCAGGAGGTGAATTGTGATCATTGCTTTTGACTGGCAGAAAATTGTGTCCTATCCTGTCCTCCTCCTCCCCCTCCCCCTCCCCCAATTCACACCCCATTTGTCTTAAGAACAAAAAACATAAGAACGGCCGTACTGGGCCAGACCAAAGGTCCATCTAGCCCAGTATCCTGTCTCCCGACAGTGGCCAGTGCCAGGTGCCCCCGAGGGGGTGGACCAAAGACAATGATCAAGCGGTTTGTCTCCTGCCATCCATCTCCAGCCTTTGACAAACAGAGGCCAGGGACACCATTCCTTACCCCCGGCTAATAGCCTTTTAGTCTTATCTCCTTATTATGTCAGTTCTCCTGGACTGTAAATTCACTGGGGCCAGGGACTGTCATTTATATTCCTAGATGCATATATAATGCCTGCCTTTAGGCACCCCAGCAATAGCCATGTATAATAATAACATAGATGGGAACCATCTTCCTCACAGTTTGAGCACTAACTCAGCTGTCTTCCAGTTGCTGCACTGTAAACATACCATCTGCCCTACCTCATCTGGACACACTGCTTAGACAGTTTGTCTGCCAGGGTTCTCCTCACCCTTGTGATGGCTCTGCAGATGGAACAGTAACCTATTTTTCAGTCTAAAAATATTATAAGAAAAGCCAAAAAGGAGTTTGAGGAACAGCTAACCAAAAAATCAAAAAGTAATAACAAAATGTTTTTTAAGTACTTCAGAAGCAGGTAGCCTGCTAAACAATCAGTGGGTCCCCTGGACGATTGAGATGCCAGAGAAGCACTCAAAGAAGATAAAGTCATTGCGGAGAAGCTAAATTAATTCTTTGCTTCAGTCTTCATGGCTGAGGATGTTAGGGAGATTCCCAAATCAGAGGAATTGTCCCAGATTGAGGTGTCATTAGAGGAGGTTTTGGAGCAAATTGATAAACTTAACAGCAATAAATCACTGAGACCAAATTCACCCAAAAGCTCTGAAAGAACTCAAATGGGAAATTGTGGAACTATTAATTGTGGTTTGTAACCTATCCTTGAAATTAGCTTCCGTACCTAATGACTGGAAGATAGCTAATGTGACGCCAATATTTAAAAAGGGCTCTAGAAGTGATCCTGGCAATTAGCGAGCAATAAGTCTAATGTCAATACCAGGCAAATTAATTAAAACTATAGTAAAGAATAAAATGGTCAGACACATAGATGGACATAATTTGTTGAGGAAAAGGCATCATGGTTTCTGTAAAGGGAAATCATGCCTTACTAATCTTCTAGAGTTCTTCGAGGGGGTCAACTGTCATGTAGACAAAGGATCCAGTAGATATAGTGTACTTAAATTTCCAGAAAGCCTTTGACAAAGTCCCTCACCAAAGGTTTTTAAGTAAAATAAGTTGTCATGGGAGAAGAGAGAAGGTCCTCTCATGGATTGATAACTAGTTAAAAGACAGGAAACAAAGAGTAGGAATAAGTTTTCAGAATGGAGAGAGGTAGCTAATGGTGTCCCCCAAAGTCTGTACTGGGACCAATCCTATTCAACCTATTTATAAATGATCTGGAGAAAGAGGTAAACAGTGAGGTGGCAAAATTTGCAGATGATACTAAATTGCTCAGGATAGTTAAGACCAAAGCAGACTGTGAAGAGCTTCAAAAAGATCTCACCAAAGTAAGTGATTAGGTAGCAAAATGGCAAATTAAATGTAATGTTGGTAAATGTAAAGTAATGCGCATTGGAAAAAATAATCCCAACTATACATACAATATAATAGTGACTAATTTAGCTATAACTACTCAAGAGAGAGATCTTAGAGTCAGTGTGGATAGTTTTCTGAAAACATCCACTCAGTGTGCAGCGGCAGTCCAAAAAGCAAACAGAATGCTAGGAATCATTAAAAAAGGGATAAAGAATAAGACAAAGAACATCTTATTGCCAGGGCCGGACGGAGGCATGGGCGAGCTGGGCAGCTGCCCGGCACCAACCGATGAGGGGCGCCTGATGGCAGCTGTAAGGGGCGCGCAGTGTCCCTTACAGCTGCCATCAGGCGCCGTGCGCCCGGCTCCCACAGTGCTGGCCCCACGGTGCCGGCCAGCAGCTCCCCTTCCCCTATGGCCAGTGCACACACCGGGCCAGGCTGGGCAGTGCATGTGCTGTGCGCCCCGGGGGCAGGCCTCCGGCGCTAGCGGCCGTGGCCAGCGTGCACATGCGCCGTGTGCCCCAGGGGGTGGGCCCGCGCACTCTGGGGGGGCGGGCCCACACATGCGCCCTGCACCCGGCCACGCACCCGAGCCCAGGGCACCAAAAGGGCTCGGGCCGGCCCTGCTTATTGCCTCTTATGTAAAACCATGGTACGCCCACATCTTGAATACTGTGTACAGATGTGGTCGCCTCATCTCAAAAAAGATATATTGGCATTAGGAAAAGGTTCAGAAAAGGGAACAAAAATTATTAGGGGTTTGGAACGGATCCCATATGAAGAGAGATTAAAAAGATTGGGACTTTTCAGCTTAGAAAAGAGGAGACTAAGGGGGAATATGATAGAGGTCTATAAAATCATGACTGGTATGGAAAAAGTAAATAAGGAAAAGTTATTTACTTGTGCCCTTAACATAAGAACTAGGGGTAACCAAATGAAATTGATAGGTAGGAGGTTTAAAACAAACAAAAGGAAGTTTTTCTTCACACAGCGCACAGTTTCCCTGTGGGACTCCTTGCCAGAGGAGATTGTGAAGAGCAGGACTTTAACAGGGTTCAAGAAAGAACTAGATACATTCATGGAGGTTAGGTCCATCAATGACTATTAGAATGGGTAGGAATGGTATGCCTAGTCTCTGTCAGAGGCTGGGAATGGGTGATGGGAGAGGGATTGCTTGAAGATTCCCTGCTCTGTTCACTCCCTCTGTGGCACCTGGCATTGGCGACTGTTGGAAGACAGAATTCTGGGCTAGATGGATCTTTGGTCTGACCCAGTATAGCCGTTCTTATGTTCTAAGCCCCTGTTGCTTCTGTGTCCTCAGGAGAGCGAAGACTTGGAGAGACAGAACGCTGCTCTGCGCAGGGAAATCAAGCAGCTGACGGAAGAAATGAAACATTTCACCTCAATGCTGAGCTCCCACGAGCCCCTCTGCTCCATCCTAACCACGGTGCCCCAACCACCCCCCGAGGTGCTATATGCCACACACTCCTTCCACCAGCCTCACATCAGCTCCCCACGCTTTCAGCACTGAGCCCAGCCACAAGGACACGCAGCCTGTAGGCTCCACAGATAGAAATCAGAGACCCCACGGGGTTTACTCTTTGGTTCACAGGAGGGACACAGACTATTACAGCTATTCCTGCTCCTCCTTCTAGGCTCTGCTGGGCCAGGCCCAGGGTCACATGTCTAGGATGTGGCCCCGGTGCAGATGTGGCAGAACCCCAGGAAGCATCTTTGGGGAGGTGAAATCTTGGATCAATGGAGAAGGGAAGCGTTTGCAAATTGGCACCAATTCCTGTTCTGTGCTTTGCACTGGGATGCTCGCATGGGTCTATGTGACACAAGAATCCTGCCTCCATGTCAGCAGTCACCAGAGACTGCACTAGTGAATGCTCCAAGGAGAGGAGTGCTGGGGATGAGGGGCTCTGGGGTAGCGGGGGAGACCAGTTTATTTTTTTTTAAATAAAGAGTAAAATGTTATCATGCTGTCTTAAAAACCTGCCTTGGCACCCCCTGAGATTTCACATTACACACTGAATATGGATGAAAATGCCTCCATGTCAGCAGTCACCAGAGACTGCACTAGTGAATGCTCCAAGGAGAGGAGTGCTGGGGATGAGGGGCTCTGGGGTAGCGGGGGAGACCAGTTTATTTTTTTTTAAATAAAGAGTAAAATGTTATCATGCTGTCTTAAAAACCTGCCTTGGCACCCCCTGAGATTTCACATTACACACTGAATATGGATGAAAACAGGTT